ACATCATCAAACTTCAGCAGCAAGAACACCCCAACAGAATGGTGTTGCTGAAAGAAGAAACAGGACTCTCAAAGAAGCTGGAAGGACCATAATTGAAGCAGCAGGCTTGCCCAAAAGATTTTGGGCAGAGGCAATCAACACAGCTTGCTATACCCAAAATAGAAGTCTTATCCACAAGACTTACAAGAAGACTCCTTATGAGCTATGGAATGGAAGAAAGCCAAATATCAGCTATTTTCATGTATTTGGATGTAAATGTTACATTCTAAACAATGGAAAAGACCATCTCAAGCCATTTGATGCTAAGTCAGATGAAGGAATCTTCCTGGGCTATTCATCTACAAGCAAAGCATTCAGAATACTCAACAAGAGAACTCTGGTGGTAGAAGAATCAATTCATGTGGTCTTTGAAAACCACAAAACAAGAAAAGATGAGTCTTCAGAAGAAAAGAATGGTAAGGCTCCAAGCTGCCTTCCCAGCAAAGAAAAACAAAAAGAAAGAAGCTTTCCTGAGCCAACTGATGACTCAAATGGCAGACCACTGCCAGCAGTTGACTCAAGCAACAGACCCCTGCCAGCAGATGACTCAAACTATAAACCACTGCAGGCTGTTGGAATCAATTCAACAGGATCATGTACCAGATTTGAAACTTCTAATCCCTCAACTCTACAAGAGGAAAGTGATGAAGAAGAGGAAGAAAAGCAGCAGACTCAAATTAATAAAACTTCTGACATTAGATGGTTGAATCAACATCCTACTCACCAGATTATTGGAAACATCCATGAAGGAGTGCGTACCAGATCATCAGTCCAAAAAGATGCCATGTTCTCATGCTTCATTTCACAAACTGAACCAAAGAAAGTTGAGGAAGCCCTCTCAGACTCTGATTGGATACAGGCCATGCAAGAAGAACTTAATCAATTTGAAAGAAATGATGTATGGGAGTTAGTACCCAGACCTAATCATCAACATGTGATAGGAACCAAATGGGTATTCAGAAACAAGATGAATGAGGAGGGCATCATTATCAAAAACAAAGCAAGACTGGTAGCCAAAGGTTACTGCCAGGAAGAAGGAATAGATTTTGATGAAACTTTTGCTCCTGTTGCCAGACTTGAAGCAATAAGGATATTCCTTGCTTATGCTGCTCACAAGAAATTCACTGTCTATCAAATGGACGTAAAGAGTGCCTTCCTAAATGGCCTACTAGAAGAAGAAGTCTATGTGGAGCAGCCTCCTGGGTTTGAAACCAACAGAGAGAAAGATCAAGTCTATAAACTGAAGAAAGCTCTCTATGGACTCAAACAAGCTCCAAGAGCATGGTATGATACTCTCTCTCAATATTTAGTGAACAATGGATTCACTAAAGGCAAAATAGACAAGACTCTCTTCAAAATTGAAGAAGGTCCACACATACTGCTTGTCCAAATTTATGTTGATGACATAATATTTGGAAGCTCAAACCAAGCACTATGCAAGAAGTTTTCAACTCTCATGCAGAGCAAATTTGAAATGAGCATGATGGGAGAGCTGAACTATTTCTTGGGACTACAAGTAAAGCAGACTCCTCAGGGTATCTTCATCAATCAAGCCAAATACACAAGAGATCTCATGAAGAAATTCAAGGTTGAGAACAAGTCCACTGTGAAGATCCCTATGAACACTTCACAAGGTCTAACTCATGATGAAGAAGGTAAAGATATTGACCCTACACTTTACAGAGGATTGATTGGATCCTTGTTATACCTTACAACTAGTAGGCCAGACATATCCTACTCAGTTGGGGTATGTGCAAGATTTCAATCCAAGCCAAAAGAAAGCCATCTTCTAGCAGCAAAGAAGATACTAAGATACCTCAAAGGCAATCCTAACTCTGGATTATGGTATCCAATAAATGGAGGCTTTGATCTATGTGGCTACTCAGACTCAGACTTTGCTGGATGCAAAATTGATAGGAAGAGCACTTCTGGAACTTGTCAATAACTTGGAGGAAGACTAGTCTCATGGTTTAGCAAGAAGCAAAACTCAATTGCTACAAGCACAGCTGAAGCAGAATACATAGCAGCAGGCAGCTGCTGTGCTCAAATACTCTGGATAAAACAACAATTGAAGGACTATGGGGAAGAAACAAAGGAGATCAGCATACTTTGTGACAACACAAGTGCTATTGCAATCACTCATAATCCAGTATTTCACTCTAGAACCAAGCATATTGAGATCAAGCATCACTTCATCAGAGAACATGTTGAGAAGAAGACCATTAAACTCGAATACATTCCCACAGAGAAGCATTTGGCTGACATATTCACCAAACCATTGAATGAAGCAAGGTTCAATGCACTAAGGCAAGAGCTAGGGATGTTAGATGATCTTGATCAAGCAAAGGAATGAACCCTCACCCATTAAGGGGGAACCTGACTCTTAAACTAAGAGAAAATCTTAGCCACCTGCTAAGGGGGAATTTGAAACAGCAGCCTGCTGTTCATTCAGCTGCTAGCTCAAGGAAATACACTCTTACACAGAGGGAATGAAGCAATAAGGTCCAAACAAAAGAATAACTAAGAAGATGGCTGAGCAGATGTCTCCGCAGAGGTCTCAGCAGAGTACTCTGCTAAAGAATACAACTGCAGCAGGAGGATAGAAAGTACAGCAGCAGGCTCACACTTGGTACTTCTAAACTGAGGTATTCACCATATTAAAGATTACATATCAACACTTCAAAAACCTTGAAGGCATTTTTCAAAGCAGTGTACTGATATCTCCACGAAGTACACTCAAAGCAGCAGCCTGCTTCTCCGAGTGTAAATGCAATTAAGGCCATGAGTTAATGAGCCGCCTTCTCCAACGGCTATAACTCAACGGCTAGTTTCCGATAGAGAATAAATACTTCCTCCGTACACCAGTTTCACTCTCTCACTCTCTAAACTCTCAAAACTCTCACTATTGCTCTATACACTCTCAAGTCACCAAACTAAATACCTTATACGTGCAACTCTTCTTCACTTCTACAAGCTCTCAAAAGCTCTCTTCTTAAAAGCTATCAAAACTCCAAATTCCCTTCTTCTCACCAAATGGCATCCATTGATATCATCTTGGAGTCCAAAAAGATCTTCACCGGATCAATTCTTGACACTGCAATCATCCTAAAAAAGGCAAATCATTCCAATCTAATGAAAGATCTTCTAAGGAAACTAGAGAGTACTGGCCTTCTCAAAATGGCAACCTACATCTATCCAAACTACTATCCCAGAATAGTAGCAGAGTTCTTTCTTAACTCCTCCAAAGATACACTCAAATCAAGCATCGAAGGCAAGCCTGTGGAAATCAAAGAAGAAGATGTCAAAGACTTGCTCTCACTTCCTGGAGATGAGTTCTCATTGGTTGAAGAATATGAGCTTGATGAGCAAACTTTCAAGGAAACAGCATTGATACCATCTGCGCAGAGTACTCAAACTCTCAAGCTCAAAACCAACAAAATGGTTCATGAGTATGCTCTTCTGCTCAGCATACTCTACAAGTGCATTGACTCCAAAAACACAGCACTTGATGAACTCAACAAGAAGAGAGCTACTCCATTAGCAGCCATAATGTCAGGGTCTCCTCAAAACTGGTCCAGATATGTATTCAACCAGATGATCTCTTATGTCAACGACTTTCATAACAGAAAGAATGCTACAACAATCCCTCATCTGGGATATGGATTTCTAATTGGAGAACTACTAAGGAAGAAAGGAGTAAACTGCTCAGTTAAAGTTGCAACAGACTGGAGAAAATTTCTCTTCCTCAAATCAATGCAAGGAACTCCAACTATTCCAAAAGAAGATGACTCCTTTCTTTCCAACGATCCACTCATGATCTCTTTCAAAATTGACACCAAAACCGCAAAAAGGATCAGATCCGGATGTCAAGAGGACAAAGCAAAGAAATCTAGAAGAACAACAAGAAATCTACAGGAAGAACTTGAAGAAGCAGCCTCCTCTATACCAATCATTCATGAAGAAGCAGCAGCAGCCTCCCCTCTCACCATCATTCAAGAAGAAGCTGAGCCCTCTTCCAACTCATCTAATGCAAGCAACAGCTCTGCCATACCCCTCTCCACTCTCAGTCCAAGAATACAGCATCTGGTAGATCAACCAAATCCTATAGAAGAACAAACGGTCTTCCTAAATGAGCAGATGGCTCCAACAGATGAGCAGGCAACTCAACAAAATGAGCAGATGGGTCCTCTAGACAAACAGGTACCTCACTCACTACCCATTGACTCCCCCAACCTAACTCCCCTCGAACAGCTGAATATAGAATTGGCAAGGGTTAAAGCTTGGAGACATTGGAAGCATTCTCGCATTCTTATGCAAGCTGAAACCCTATCAAACTTCATTGAGGAAGAAGACTTTGCTCTGGGATGGCTAGTGTAACACCGTCCCCAAGTGTATTTACTTTTATGTAAATAATGTATTGAACCTTGTCAAAGGATTAATGAATTTACGAAGTTGTAAAAATTTTATTAATTCTTTCGCGTGAATAGTAAATTGCACGTGGGACCCACATCGGGAGCGGGGGTCGCCCGACATTCCCGAGACCATATATTTTATTCATCTTGGTCTAGATAATAAATATATGGTGATGGATATTTTATTTGGGTCATGGAAAGGCCCAGAGTTGACCGGTTGGTCAAAAGAAGCCCAAATACCGGTACCGACAATTTAACAGATAATAGCCCGAAAATGAATTTCGGAGACTTCTAAATTAATGTTTCGGAATTTATATTATTTCAAAAGGCCAGTACGATTGGGAACACGTAATATATTTTATTGGACCCGATAAAATAAAATATAATTAAAACTGTCCGAAAAATACAACTTTCGGGACCAATTGTACACTTCGGGACTTAAAGGGATGACCTCCCACATGTGTGGGGGCCAACCCACAAAATTATACACTCAAGACAAGCCTTGGACGGCTGGAAGGAGAGGAGGGAGGAGGGAGTTGTTTGAGTTTGAGATGAAAGGCATCTAAGGACAAAGTGGGTCTCCCATCCCACACTTATTTGTCTATTAAGACAAAAGTGAGGTCTACACCCCTCCCCCCATCATTTTCGGCCTAAGCATCACAAGAAGGAGAGGAAGCTCTGCAAAATACATCCTCCATATCCATAAACAAAGCTCAAGCAATAGGAGTCCAAGGAGGAAGATAATAGAAGGAAAAAGCTAGGAAAAAGTGTGAAAACTAAGGTAATAACCTTATCATGACTTTTCCTTTATTTTTTCTTCTACCATATGAAATATATATCATATTTAGGACCTTGAGCATGGTTCCACACATTATAAGTATGGGTTTATTGGTTGAAAGGTGGTTCTATGTCCAAGAACGGACTTAGAAGCCAAAACGACCGGTTCACCGGAAAATAACCTTTTATAGGTTATTTGTATTGATTAAGGTTTTATGATGTTAAAACCTTGTTAGGAACTTGTGAAAGGTATTTCAAGTGATTTCACAAAGTTGGAAAAGTCGCCGGAGTTGTCGCCGGAGTTGACCAAAAGTCACCGGAGTTTCACCGGAGTTCAACCAAGAAGGGTAGAACTTCTTAACGCTAGTTCAAGGTGAGTGGACGGCTTAATATCTTATAACTTTTGGGTTAATTATAAGATTACCTAAATAAATGTTATATGAATTCATAATGATGTTTAAAAGATATTTAAACATGTGATTAGCCAATAGGGTTAAGTTTGTATGAAAGAAATAGATTGTTTATGCATAGAATATGATATGAAGAATTATATAGAATGCATATTTGCTTGAAGTGTATTAGAAGCACAAATGAATATTTTAACTTAATTATGTGATGATTAAGTTGATTTGTACAAGGTTTGTAATGGCGGTCAACGACCACGTTGACCGGTGGATAATGGATTAATTAATACCGGTCGATATTAATTAATTGTACATTTACATAATTGCATGGCTTTGCATGGAATGTGATACATAAGTTTTATGTATTGAATTAGTTATGAATGACTAAATATGATATAGACCCTATCTAGCGTGATATGTGGTAAGTCATAGGTCGGGTGGAGTACCCAAGGATCGGGCGGTTATCCTCAAAACTCGGTTATATAGGGTGGAGTACCCAAGGATCGGGCGGTTATCCTCAAAACTCGGTTATATAGGGTGGAGTACCCAAGGATCGGGCGGTTATCCTCAAAACTCGGTTATATAGGGTGGAGTACCCAAGGATCGGGCGGTTATCCTCAAAACTCGGTTATATAGGGTGGAGTACCCAAGGATCGGGCGGTTATCCTCAAAACTCAATTATAGGGTGGAGTACCCAAGGATCGGGCGTGTATCCTCAAAACTCATAGATTACATTTAATGATCTAGGACCGGGCGGTGTCCTTATGATAATTTATTTGACCAAGGAGGAGTTCTATACACTCATAGGTATATGGGTGGGTTGGGATTTAAGTCAAGGATATTGACTACTATTATTTTCCCAAATAAACAATGACCTACGGGTCGGGTATTTCCAAGTGTATGTATACTAATATGTATTTCAAACTTGGGGGAAGGACTATACGTATATGTATCATCCTATGTTTGGGTCTTATACTTGAAACGCTAGTTATTCTATATTTAGCCTGCTACTCGCTCGGTACTTGTACTGACCCCTTCGGGGGGCCCCACCATTTTCAGGTTGAAGCTAGAGCTTGCTACTTGCACCTTCTCACGGGTGATATCAAATCAGGGAGACGTGGTTCGTGCTTCCTTATTTTCTTTCAAACTACCGAACACTTGCTCATGGATATTTGTTTTACTACAAACTATTTTTGGGGCTTGCATGCCCATGTTGTCGGCCGGTTGTGGCCCATGACTTACCGTTGAATATTTCCGCTATTCACTGGTTTAATGTGATGTTGTTATGTATGTTTACTACTGAGTATGGATGGATTGTTTTCTCGAACGCCTTGTGTAATTAAGTGAGGTTGACCCGTGGGTGACGTCACTTAGTTATACGGCGGTTGTACACGCGCTTGGATTGCGGTCTGGGGCGTGACAATTAAGTGGTATCAGAGACATCTCAGTTCTAAACTATATAATCAACCTCTCACAACAGATTTTACAAAAGAGTTTTTACCGAAAACCATGAGCATTGTATTTTGACGTTTATAGGACTATTGGTGCTTAAGTTGCAAGGCCTCTAATTGTTAAGACGGTACCCTTAACAATTGGTATGGGGGTGACTTGGGCCAATATGTGTCTGTAACGTTTTTCCGTCGATTGACATTTATAGGAGTCTAATGACTCATCCATATTTCTTTCAGAAATGGAGGGCAGGCGAATGCGGACCAGGAACAATCCGAGGGGGCAGGCGCCGGTAACATCCCAAAGGGGAAGCCGGGCTGCATCTCGGGGTTCAAGAGGAGGCCGTGGAGGCCGTGGAAGCCGTGGAGGTCATCAAGCTCAAACTGTGAGTGATGGCCATGTAAGCTCGGTGTATGAAACCAACACCGAGGATTATGACTCTACGTATGTTCCTGAGACAGAGCATGAGGAGACCCCATATGATGGGGGTGACACATACACCGATGAGGACAATGATGAAAGTGATGCCCGCTTCGCCCAAATGGGTGAATTACTTGAGTGGTATCAAAAGGAGAAACTGAGGAGAGACCTTAGGCGCCAAGCGAGGCGTGGCTCTCGTGGTGGTTCGGGTCAAGGGAGCCGGGGAGCTTCCGTGGCCACCCCAGCGGCGTCACAAGGTGGGCGTGAAGGAGGTTTTGTTGTGAGAATCTCCAAGTACCTCAAGGAGGCTAGGGCCTTGGGGTGTAGGTCCTTTGACGGCACCGGTGACATTACCGTTGCCGCCGATTGGATTAAGAAGGTGAAGGATGCGTCAAGAGACATGCAAATCACACCGGACGTGAAGTTGACTGTCGCTTCACGGCTACTTGAAGGGATAGCCTCTACGTGGTGGGAGAGCGTGGAAGGGAAGTACCATGGGGAAATAACATGGGCGGACTTTGAGCTAGAGTTCTATGCTCAATACTACTCCGAGTACGAGGTGAATGTGAAACGGAGAGAGTACACTAACCTCAAACAGAAAGATGGCGGCACGGTTAAGCAGCTGGAACAAGAGTTTAGAACCTTGGCGAGGTTCTTGCCAGAGTACGCGGTTGATGAGAACCGCATGACGGAGCACTTCTGGGATGCATTACTCTTGGATATCCGTGACCGAGCTACGTACTCTCGCCACATGTCATTTAGCGAGGTGGTGGAACAGGGTCTTCTTGGAGAGGCCCAGTGGAATGAGAGGAAAGCAAGGGACGCCGAAGAGGCGAAGAAGAGGAAGTGGAATAATTCGGGGCCACCCGATCATTCTCGAAGGAACAACCACGGGGGTGGTGGTGGTGGCGGTGGTTCATTCAAGACGCCGGCTCCACCGGCAAAGAAGAATAGGGATGCGAGGTGGCACGGACCTAGGCCACAGAACTCGGGGCCACCTAGATGTCCCAATTGCTCAAAACAACACTTTGGGAAGTGTAATGAACCACCGAGGTGTTTTAAGTGCGGGAATGCGGGCCATATGAAGGCCAATTGCCCTCAATTGATGCAAGAGAGTGCCTCGGGAGCCGGGGGAGGGACCATGACGGGAAGAAACCGTGCGGGACCGTCAAACGGCGGTACTGGAAGAGGCGGTGCATCCACAAGCCATGCCGCATCTGTCAACCAAGGTGAGACCCAAGCACGAGTCTACGCGATGACCGAGGCGGATGCGCGAGCAAACCCGGACTCCGTTGCAGGTAATACATTTATTTTCCTGAATTTCTAGGCTTATTTGGGTCATATAAGTCATTGGGTTTGGGTGCGGGCCACCCCGGGGTCAAACCCCGCGAATTCGGGGCGAAACGGGCTAAAAACAACTACGCGCGATCGCGCGTACCCACAGACGCACGACCGTGCGTGCGAGGCAGTAGCCTCTGGCCTTATTCCGCGCAGACGCACGCCGTGCGTGCAGGTCAGGCACGCCGTGCGTGGGACGCACGATCGTGCGTGACCAGCTACGCACGATCGTGCGTAGCCTGCAGTGGTGGATCTCCGATTTTCACCCAGGCACGCCGTGCGTGCCACCCAGGCACGCCGTGCGTGGACCCCCAACACCCGAAAATTGATTTTTTCGCCCCGTTCTTCTACGTTTGGACCCCCGTTTGATTCCAAACATTAGTGTGAACCTAATAACATCCTAATGATGTGTAAAAACCTTAGAAAATGTATCTTACATGATGTATAAATGTAGGAACATTAGAGATCAATGGTAGGTGTGCGAGGATCCTCATCGATACCGGGGCACAACGCTCATTTGTGAGCGAGGCGTTCGCCGAGGGCCTTGACGTGCCATTGACACCTATGACGCAAACGTTGCTAGTCTCCACACCGTTAGGAGACGATGTGGAGAGAAATCATTACTATCCATCATGTGAGGTGGAAGTGACGGGTCAACCCTTGACTTGTGATTTTGTACCTCTAAGCATGTTGGAGTTCGACGCAATCCTAGGAATGGATTGGCTCGAGAGACACCATGCTCGAGTAGATTGCTACACCAAGGTGTTGGAGCTCGAGGATGATCAAGGAAACACGGTATGTTTCGAGGGAGATCGAGGAAAATCCAATGCTTGCATCATATCCGTAATGAGAGCACGGAAGATGATGAGGAAGGGGTGCCACACATACCTTGCTTACGTGATGGATGATACGAAGAAAGAAGTCGACATCAAGGATGTTCGAGTCGTGTGCAAGTACCCGGACGTCTTTCCAAAGGACCTACCGGGGCTTCCACCCGATAGAGAGATTGAATTTGTAATCGAAGTGGAGCCGGGAACCAAACCCATTTCGATTCCTCCTTATCGAATGGCACCGGCCGAACTTCAAGAGTTGAAGGTCCAACTACAAGAGCTACTGGACAACGGGTTCATCAGACCCAGTCATTCACCGTGGGGAGCACCCGTACTCTTCGTAAAGAAGAAAGATGGTACGCTAAGAATGTGTATCGACTACCGACAGTTGAACAAGGTCACAATCAAGAACAGGTATCCTTTACCTAGGATTGATGACTTGTTTGATCAACTTCGAGGGGCCATAGTATTCTCGAAGATTGACTTGAGATCGGGGTATCATCAGTTGAAGATCAAGGAGAGTGACATACCTAAGAGTGCATTTCGCACTAGATATGGTCACTACGAGTTTCTTGTGATGTCATTTGGTTTAACCAATGCACCGGCAGCATTCATGGACTTGATGAACCGGGTGTTTAGTGAATACTTAGATCAATTTGTGATAGTATTCATTGATGATATCTTGATATACTCCAAGAGCGAGGAGGAGCACGAACATCATTTGGGGCTTATACTTGATCGGCTAAGGGAAAAGCAACTCTTTGCCAAGTTCTCTAAATGCGAATTTTGGCTCAAGGAGATTGGTTTTCTTGGTCACGTCATATCCGGTTCGGGCGTAGCTGTGGATAACGCCAAGATAAAGGCTATCATGGATTGGGAGAGACCCAAGAATGTGAAAGAAATACGTAGTTTCCTTGGCCTAGCGGGGGTACTATCGTAAATTCGTTGAGAAGTTCTCCGTATTGGCGTCCCCATTAACGAAGCTCACAAAGAAAGGGGCCAAGTTTGTATGGGACGACAAGTGTGAGAAAGGGTTCCTTGAACTGAAGAAACGACTTACCGAAGCACCAGTCCTAGCCCTACCCATACAGGGGATAGGGTATGATATCTACAGTGATGCTAGCATCCAAGGACTTGGATGTGTACTGATGCAAAACGGTAAAGTGATTGCCTATGCTTCAAGGCAATTGAGAAAGCACGAGGTGAACTACCCTACCCATGATCTAGAATTAGGGGCGGTAGTGTTTGCACTGAAAATCTGGAGGCATTATCTCTACGGGGAGACATGTCACATTTTTACAGACCATAAGAGCTTGAAGTACGTATTCACTCAGAAAGAGTTGAATATGAGGCAAAGGAGATGGATGGAGTTGATCAAGGACTATGACTTGATCATCGACTATCATCCCGGAAAGGCCAATGTCGTGGCCGACGCACTGAGCAGGAAGAATGCGACAGGGACGCTACTCACATGTCTACAGGCATTGAGGGCACGCGTGGAGGTGTCTACGTGTGGGGCTCTCATTGCTCAATTTGAGGTTAGGCCCACCCTATTGGGTGAGATTAGTCGAAGTCAGGCCATTGATGAAGAATGTCAGAAGATCCGTGAAAGAATCCTGGAAGGACCCGTTGAGAATTTTCGGGTACGTGATGACGGTCTTTTATTGTTTAAAGATCGTGTGTGCATACCAAGGAATGAGGAACTCCAGAAATCTATACTTGAGGAGGCTCATTCTTCGGCTTATGCTATGCATCCAGGAGGTACTAAGATGTACCGAGATCTGAAGGAAAGTTACTGGTGGTCAGGTATGAAGAGAGATATCGCAGAGTTTGTGAGTCGATGCCTTACTTGCCAGCAAGTTAAGGCAGAGCATCAGCACCCAGCAGGGCTCTTACAACCGCTCACTATCCCAGAGTGGAAGTGGGAACACGTGACCATGGACTTCGTGGTGGGGCTACCACGAACGGTAAACAACTATGATGCAGTATGGGTAGTGGTTGATAGGCTCACCAAGAGTGCACACTTTCTGCCTATCAACATTACTTATCCTCTTGAAAGATTGGCCAAGCTATATACAGAGGAGATTGTGAGATTACATGGAGTCCCAATATCCATTGTCTCGGATAGGGATCCACGATTCACATCCCGATTTTGGCCAAAGTTTCAGGCATCCTTGGGAACTAAACTGAAGTTTAGCACAGCTTTTCACCCACAGACCGATGGACAGTCCGAGCGGGTGATACAGATTTTGGAAGACATGCTTAGGGCATGTGCGTTGGAGTTCCAAGGAAGTTGGGACAAGCATTTGGCCCTAGTGGAGTTTGCCTATAATAACAGTTATCAGGCAAGTATCGGCATGCCCCCATATGAGGCATTGTATGGGAGGAAGTGCAGAACACCGTTGTGTTGGGACGAGGTGGGCGAGGCCAAACTCGAAGGAATAGAGCTGGTTGAGATCACCAAGGCCAAGATAAGGATCATTCGGGATAGATTGAAGGCTGCTCAGGACCGACAGAAGAGTTATGCTGATAAACGGCGGAGACCGTTGGAGTTCGAAGTCGGTGATGAGGTCTTCCTAAGGATTTCTCCTTGGAAGGGCATCATTCGATTTGTATCGAGGGGAAAGCTTAACCCCCGATACATCGGCCCATTTGAAATCCTTGAAAGGATAGGGGCCGTGGCTTACCGTCTCAAGTTGACACCGGAACTTGAGAAGATACATGACGTGTTTCATGTATCGATGCTCAAGAAGTACATACGAGACCCATCTCATATTCTTGAGAAACCACCGGTAGAGATCCGTGAGGACTTGCAATATGCGGTGGAACCAGTGGAGATTGTTGGTCAACAAGTGAAGAAGCTTAGGAATAAGGAGATTCCTATGGTAAAGGTTCTTTGGAGGAGCGATCGAGTCGAAGAAGAAACTTGGGAGACCGAGGTCTCAATGAGGGAGCAATACCCATTTCTTTTCGATTAGATACTTGGATTTCGGGGACGAAATCCCAAATAAGGGGGGGTGAACTTGTAACACCGTCCCCAAGTGTATTTACTTTTATGTAAATAATGTATTGAACCTTGTCAAAGGATTAATGAATTTACGAAGTTGTAAAAATTTTATTAATTCTTTCGCGTGAATAGTAAATTGCACGTGGGACCCACATCGGGAGCGGGGGTCGCCCGACATTCCCGAGACCATATATTTTATTCATCTTGGTCTAGATAATAAATATATGGTGATGGATATTTTATTTGGGTCATGGAAAGGCCCAGAGTTGACCGGTTGGTCAAAAGAAGCCCAAATACCGGTACCGACAATTTAACAGATAATAGCCCGAAAATGAATTTCGGAGACTTCTAAATTAATGTTTCGGAATTTATATTATTTCAAAAGGCCAGTACGATTGGGAACACGTAATATATTTTATTGGACCCGATAAAATAAAATATAATTAAAACTGTCCGAAAAATACAACTTTCGGGACCAATTGTACACTTCGGGACTTAAAGGGATGACCTCCCACATGTGTGGGGGCCAACCCACAAAATTATACACTCAAGACAAGCCTTGGACGGCTGGAAGGAGAGGAGGGAGGAGGGAGTTGTTTGAGTTTGAGATGAAAGGCATCTAAGGACAAAGTGGGTCTCCCATCCCACACTTATTTGTCTATTAAGACAAAAGTGAGGTCTACACCCCTCCCCCCATCATTTTCGGCCTAAGCATCACAAGAAGGAGAGGAAGCTCTGCAAAATACATCCTCCATATCCATAAACAAAGCTCAAGCAATAGGAGTCCAAGGAGGAAGATAATAGAAGGAAAAAGCTAGGAAAAAGTGTGAAAACTAAGGTAATAACCTTATCATGACTTTTCCTTTATTTTTTCTTCTACCATATGAAATATATATCATATTTAGGACCTTGAGCATGGTTCCACACATTATAAGTATGGGTTTATTGGTTGAAAGGTGGTTCTATGTCCAAGAACGGACTTAGAAGCCAAAACGACCGGTTCACCGGAAAATAACCTTTTATAGGTTATTTGTATTGATTAAGGTTTTATGATGTTAAAACCTTGTTAGGAACTTGTGAAAGGTATTTCAAGTGATTTCACAAAGTTGGAAAAGTCGCCGGAGTTGTCGCCGGAGTTGACCAAAAGTCACCGGAGTTTCACCGGAGTTCAACCAAGAAGGGTAGAACTTCTTAACGCTAGTTCAAGGTGAGTGGACGGCTTAATATCTTATAACTTTTGGGTTAATTATAAGATTACCTAAATAAATGTTATATGAATTCATAATGATGTTTAAAAGATATTTAAACATGTGATTAGCCAATAGGGTTAAGTTTGTATGAAAGAAATAGATTGTTTATGCATAGAATATGATATGAAGAATTATATAGAATGCATATTTGCTTGAAGTGTATTAGAAGCACAAATGAATATTTTAACTTAATTATGTGATGATTAAGTTGATTTGTACAAGGTTTGTAATGGCGGTCAACGACCACGTTGACCGGTGGATAATGGATTAATTAATACCGGTCGATATTAATTAATTGTACATTTACATAATTGCATGGCTTTGCATGGAATGTGATACATAAGTTTTATGTATTGAATTAGTTATGAATGACTAAATATGATATAGACCCTATCTAGCGTGATATGTGGTAAGTCATAGGTCGGGTGGAGTACCCAAGGATCGGGCGGTTATCCTCAAAACTCGGTTATATAGGGTGGAGTACCCAAGGATCGGGCGGTTATCCTCAAAACTCGGTTATATAGGGTGGAGTACCCAAGGATCGGGCGGTTATCCTCAAAACTCGGTTATATAGGGTGGAGTACCCAAGGATCGGGCGGTTATCCTCAAAACTCGGTTATATAGGGTGGAGTACCCAAGGATCGGGCGGTTATCCTCAAAACTCAATTATAGGGTGGAGTACCCAAGGATCGGGCGTGTATCCTCAAAACTCATAGATTACATTTAATGATCTAGGACCGGGCGGTGTCCTTATGATAATTTATTTGACCAAGGAGGAGTTCTATACACTCATAGGTATATGGGTGGGTTGGGATTTAAGTCAAGGATATTGACTACTATTATTTTCCCAAATAAACAATGACCTACGGGTCGGGTATTTCCAAGTGTATGTATACTAATATGTATTTCAAACTTGGGGGAAGGACTATACGTATATGTATCATCCTATGTTTGGGTCTTATACTTGAAACGCTAGTTATTCTATATTTAGCCTGCTACTCGCTCGGTACTTGTACTGACCCCTTCGGGGGGCCCCACCATTTTCAGGTTGAAGCTAGAGCTTGCTACTTGCACCTTCTCACGGGTGATATCAAATCAGGGAGACGTGGTTCGTGCTTCCTTATTTTCTTTCAAACTACCGAACACTTGCTCATGGATATTTGTTTTACTACAAACTATTTTTGGGGCTTGCATGCCCATGTTGTCGGCCGGTTGTGGCCCATGACTTACCGTTGAATATTTCCGCTATTCACTGGTTTAATGTGATGTTGTTATGTATGTTTACTACTGAGTATGGATGGATTGTTTTCTCGAACGCCTTGTGTAATTAAGTGAGGTTGACCCGTGGGTGACGTCACTTAGTTATACGGCGGTTGTACACGCGCTTGGATTGCGGTCTGGGGCGTGACAGCTAGGCACTGAAGACATTGCAACTGCAACAAAACTTCACCACATCAACCTAGTCTACACCACCAAAAGGAGCCAAATGCTAGGCAAAACATCCATCCAAGATGATGACTCAGATGATCTGGATGATGATGATGATGATGGTGATGCCCACAAAGGACCTCCCAGCAAACAAAGAGGTAAACAAATTATTTCCTCCTCCTCTTCTAGTGACAAAGAATTCAGAACAATCTTGGAGAAATCAAGATTGGAAACTCATGGAGGAGGAGAATCTTCTAAAGCTCCCCAGGAACAGATGACTGCTACTCAAGAGCCTCAACCAATGAACCTCAACTTGAACTCCTATCAAGAGGATATCCCAGAGCAGGAACCTCCAACATCGAATGATCTCAAAGATCAAATTCTCCATGATGGAGAAGAGGACACCCCCACACTGGCAGAGGTCTTCATCAACGAAAGAAGGGCAACCATCAAATTCATCAGTAATGCTGAAGTGAGACTACACAAGCGGTTGATCAAAATGAAGAAGCATTTTGATGATCTCCTTGACTTAAGATTCACAGAGGTTCACAGGCACATCAGAAGCAACCTAATGATACAACAAGTGTTCAACTCTGAGCAAAAGGCTCAACTTCAGATTCAGCTTGCAAATCAACCTGCTCAGCTAGAGGCAATCCACAAAGCCCTCGCAGAACTTCGAGCTAAAGATGAGGAGCTAGAAAATCAGATTCTGACACTTCAACAAGCACAAGCAAGAGCAGATGCCCTTCATGCTGCAGCAGAGACCTCTGCTCCGGTAAACTCTATCTCTACTTTACCTACTAACCTTGAACAGGCACTTCAAAAGATAACTGAGCATGAAGAATACATCACTTATCTCAAGAACAAGGAGTTCCCTGCCATGCTTCAACTCTCTCAGAAGTTCCTCAGTGAGCAGCAGGCTCATGTTCAAGCATATGACCAATTAACCAAAGCAATAAAAAACAACTTCCTGGTTATTCAAAAGAACACTCAAGAAACCTTCTGGAAGCAGGGATGTGACATCCAGAGACTGGCACAGGAAGTAGATGAAGCCAAGAAAATCTTAAAGAAGGTAGAAGAAGAAGTGCATGTAGACATCAAAACTGATCTCCAAGATGTCAACAACGCACTCAATGCAATGTCCATCACAGTGTATGGACTTAAGAACAAACAAGAAGAATCAGATGAAGAAATAGAAGCCCTCTACCAAGATATTGATGATGCCAAAAAGGGGGAAGCTACCTTAGCAGGACCCTCCTCTAAAAGACAGATAGCAGCAAAGAAGGCAGCTGAAACAAGAAGAAAGAACAAACTGCTACAAGAAGAGGCTGAGATCAGAAAGAGAAAAGCAGAAGAGGCTAAGGCAAGGGAAGAAGCCAAGAAGAAAGAAGAAGACAAGCAGCTCAAATAGATTCAATCAGTAGTCCGAGAATGACTATAAACTACTGTAGTAGCAAAACACTTGTAACTATTCTCATTTCAATTAAGAAAACCTCTTCCCTGCTTAGTATAGTTTTGGCATCATCAAAAAGGGGGAAATTGTTAGTACCCAATTTTAATAAGATTTTGATGATGCCACTATACTAAAAGTCAATATGTCCTGCGTTCTTACTTTAATTAAAGGTTGATCAGGCTCTCAAACTGTGACCAATTAAAATGTACAATTTTTGTACTAAATAAATTTTTACTGGAAAATTAAAATGCAATAAGGTATTCTTTTTACCTTAAAAGGACATTCAGATCCAACCAGTATAAATTTATTTAGTACATAAAATTATCAAGTCACATAATCAGCTGATCAAGAAATGACAAATTAATTCTGTACCAAATAAACTTTACTGGAAACTAAAAACTACAATAAGGTAAAATTTGTTTACCTTAGAAGGACACTTTGATCCTACCAGTACAAATTTATTTGGTACATAATAAAATAGAACACGGCATACACACACACATACACTGCATGTGTATGATTGAAGACAAAGACAAGAAAAGCATTAAATGCTCAACAGTACGAAGACCAAAGAAGATGGGTCGCACACACCAAATCGTGAAGATTGAACCTTGACTTGATCTTCTAGCTACTAATCAGTGAAGACAAAGGAAATTTCCAATATCAGCTCCAGCACAAGAGAACAAGAGTACGCCTCATTCTACGAATAGGATTGAATCCTCTCAACCAACGGAGGAGATCAACCTACTGGAGAAGCCTATAAAAGAAGGCATAGGCATGCGTTCTAAAACTAAGTTTTTGAGTCCTCTAAGTAGAGTAATCACTCTAAGTATTCACGAGCTATCAAGCAAAAGAGAAAGTGCCAATTCAACTTTGCTCTCTGCTTAGACTCATGCTTCACTAAGCTCTAAGATTAGATTAACAACTGTCATATTTGAAGAGCTTAGTTCATAGTTGGAGGTTAGAACTTTCTTGTAATCACAAGTTGTTGTAAACACTTAGGAGAACGGTTGTTCAGATCCTAAAGTGCAGTTAGATAGAAAAGAGTACCTTTTGAACCCCACTGGTTCAATAGAGAAAAGTCTAAGGACTGAGTAACCTTGAGTGGTGCTATACTCATTGTGAAAAACCTTCAATCTAGGCCTAAGTGTTGTAAAGGCTGGATTGACACTAAGTGTATTGGGCTTAATACTTTAGTGAAATCCATCTGAAAGAGGGTGGGACTGGATGTAGGAGGATTACACCACCTCTGAACCAGGATACATCGTGTGTTGATTTTATGTTAGTCAACAAAGCACACAACCAACACTTCTCACAAAAAAAGATTGGAGTTTGCCAGCAGCATCCTAAGCAGTTGCCTTAACAGACCCAACTGCTTATCCTACTGCTTAATTACTTACTTTCTTTGAGATTTTTTTTCAAGAAACGTGTACAAATATCACTAAAAGGCCTATCAGGTCATTTTCCAGAAATTCATTCTCAAGTATAGCAGGTGCCTCAGCAGTTACCTAGTGTCCATCCAACTGCTGAGCCCTCTGCTCACAAACACTTGTTTTTCTTAAACATCTCAATATCACTGGACCTTCATAACATTACCAACGAGGAAGTTGACCAAACTGCTCTGTGAAATTCATCCTCTAAACCAAGCAGGCACCTCAGCAGTGCCCTCATCACCAATCAACTGCTGAGACCACTGCTCCAGTAAAACTTCTGATTACATATACTAAAGCACATTTTCAAAAGCCCTCACTACTCTTAGCAACATTTCATCATCACCTTCTTCAAACACCCAATATTTTCTCAGCAGTTGCCTCAGCAGTCTCCTGCATTTCAGCTAACTGCCAACTCAGCAGTTGCCTCAGCAGTCGCCTACCCATCATCCAACTGCCAAGCCTACTGCCCTTCCATAATTAGTCTAAACATCACCCAGACTAGAAAGTTATCTTAAACTGAGTTTCTAGAGGTTAAAGACTTCCGCTGTGCATCTATTAATCTCCCAAAAGATTATAGATCAACTCATCTAGAAGGGAAAAGTTCTTAAAGACGAAAAAGCTATAAAAGTCTATTCACCCCCCCTATAGACTTTTACCTCTATCCGGGACCATCAATAGTTTATGTATTTATTCCATTTACAAACCATTTTTACTTAGTTATACATAACATTCTCTTTCACATGGTCATTCAGAGGTCATTTGTAACTATAACACTCTTGTGAAGTAAACTTTCATCAGGAATAGGATTATGTTTAATACTTGCAATACAGGACACTTTCAAAATATTTTAATGTAAGCAACACACATTTTATTAGTCAAACAAATCAATTGGTCCATATGCTAACATGAGATATAAAATCTAATTATTTTGTCTATAACATCCATTTTCCTTAACTTTGTAAGGGAACCTGTGATATAGGATTGTTGTGAGTCTTCTAGTTGTGCCCAATGCCTATGTTACTTGCACCTCCCACTACTTGTCGCGATATGAACTCACCGGTTGATGTGGGGTACCTCATTTGTACCCCTATGTGAGCGGTTCACAAAAACACTTTATTAAAATGGAGCAATTAAATTGATTTGTTGGACTTTTGTGAACCACAGATTGAGTGATGTACAGATGGGGTACCTCTAGCATTTCTCATTAGAAAAACGCTATGATCAAGTCTGGTTAGATATTAAAAACTCCGCATTGGAAAGATCTTTGTAGTTATCGGGACATTAAACATTAATTAATGCCCGCTTAATTACGTCTGGCATTCTGGTGGCATACAGGTTTTTCAGTGAGCTGGTCGGTTTCAATTTTATATCAAGTGCTTTGCTTTGATAGTTTGACAAATAAAAAAAATAGAAAAAACATGCAGAGTATATCAGATCAGTAATTAGAAAAAAAGGAAGAAGAATAACGTGTTTCTTGTCTTTTTGCTGCAACTCAAATTACACATCCGCAAAGAAGATGGTTTGGTACTCACTCGTGAAGTGGTCTGTTTTAGTTCACCACTTCACTGCACTTTCACTTTTTAATTTTCCCAATTACTGTATTCTTTTTCCGTCAAAGCAATTTGACCCCACTAAGACCGGTACGAATATGCCACGTCATCCAATATTCCATTACCTTGAACAAAGCCTGCCGGCCGGCCGGCCGGCCGGTCCCCTCACACTTCTCGCTGATTGTAGAGAGGGAGGGGTTGTTTTGCTTTTTCCTTCTTTATTTACCGCAACAGAATAAAAGCCATTAATTACTGTTACTTTTTTTTTTATATATCAAGAAACATTGAGAATCCCCATAAACCCCTCTGTAAGGCTTCCTCACCTTTCACACACATTTCCCCCTTTTTTCTCAAGTGTTCTTCCTCTTCATACCACTTCCTGCATCTCCTTTTTCACATCACATATAATGAGAGGAGGACAGATGGGTATTGGGAAGTACCCCTCAAGTGATGGGAATGGAGAAGTTAGTAGTGGTGGTGGAGGTGGAATTATAAAACACAACAGGAAATGCAGAGATGTGGTTTTTCTGGTCATCTTCATCGCCTTCTGGGTGGCTATGCTCGTCAATTCCAGCTTCGGGTTCAACCAAGGAAACCCTTTAAGGTATAATCACAACTTTCCAAGAGCCTACTTCTTGCTTTATGTTATATTCCTCAATCCTCATACAACTAGATGCAATTGGACCTGACTTTATCTTCTTGTTGTTTCTCTTCACCTTGATCTCCTATTATATATTGGGATTCGTCTTGCTTCTCAACAAGTTTTGTTATTTGGTGGTTTTTGTGCATGTAACTTGGGGTTTACTTCTCTTTCTAAGGCTTGTTCTGTTTACTAGACGTGTTCTTCTCATCTGCACAATAAGAAGGATGACCAGAATACATACTTTTTAATTACCTGGAGCCTTTTTTGCTTAGCGTTATAAGCCTGAAATGGCCGGATAGGATTTAAATGAATTTTGTGCTAAATAAGTAAGTTTAAGCTACTAATTGTGCTTATTTTGATTTGAAGCGTTGGTCTTTTCAACCCATTTTGACTTCGAAATTGACATTTTCACCCAATATTTCCTTTTATTTGACTTTGCGGTCCAGCTTCCAAAAGTGGGGTGCACCATGACATACTAATATAGTCATAGGGTGTAAACTATATATTTGAACATGGAGATGAACAAATGAATACCTCAATAAGTGTTGGGCATGCTATATTTGGTTGGTTTTGCAGGTTGAGTTATGGCTTGGACTATAAGGGCAACATTTGTGGTGACAGACATGCAGACCCTAACCTTCATGAGCTGGACCTTAGGTATTGGTTAAACCCCAATGAGGTGTATCATAGTGGTTCTAAGGACAGTGACATCAGGCTTGCAAATGCCAAAAGCATTTGCTTGTTGGACTGCCCTATCCCTTCTGAAGATTCATTAAATTGGGTCTGCGACTATCCTGAGGGCGACATTCGTCTCTCCGTTGATGATTGGATTGACAGAAACTATGATTATTTTGCTGACCTCACCCCTGATTTAAGGAACACATCCCTTCAGCTTCAGGGTCCTTGTTACCCTGTCATATTTCCCAGTGTCAATGGTGAGTTATTCATTCAATCTTCCCCTTCGATTTTCTATCTACTTTTAAAGTGTGTTTGAGTTCCTCTAAGTGCAGGATAAGGAAGAAACACAGTAATAGGAGTTGATATGTTTTCAATATTTTACTTATGTTCAGTTTTTTAGTCTTTACATAATTGTAAAAGTAATAAATAAGATTTCGAAAAAATATAAAAGAAAATATTTAGTTTGAACCAATGTTAATTCCCCCACAGTTTCTTGCTTTCCAGATTCAACTTTTATTATACTTTAGAGGGAATGTATTGTCCAACAAGAACTCACTGTGCAATATGCCAATATGAGTATATTACATTGTGTTTTACTTTATATTTCTAGTTTACTGGAGCTGCCAATTTATTGCCCGCGCATCAAATGTGTCTTTGAGGCATTGGAAGGAGATGGGAGGGATTGAGATTTTTGAGGATATTGTAATTGATAAAGCAATTCATAGGTTCATTAACTCCCGATCATCAGTCTTTAAGGTTGACACTCTCCCTTTACCTACCCCGGACTTTCAATTTTCTTATTCATGATTGCTTGATTGCCTAAGCATGATTTCTTCTAGCCTGCCATGTAGCTAACTTTAGAAATATATATGATCCTTTTTTTTTTTTAATTCAGTTCACTCTTAGCTACTTAACATAAAGCAGTATGCCC